AAAAAAAAGAAAAGAGCAAAAGGGAAAACACAGCAAACTATGGACACCAATGCAGAAGAACATTAAAGCAACAGAGGACACTGCTGGGAGGGCAGCTCAGTGGAAGCATGACTCAGCATGCATAATCGTTAGTAGTTTTAAGTACATCTAGATTGTCTTAGTTACTTGTTGCTGAGACAAAATGCCCAGCACCCACAGTTCAATGTTTATTTTGGCTCATAGTTGGTATCAATTTTAGTCCGTAGTTGGCTGGCTTCAATGGAGGAGTGCATGCTGGCATGGCAGGGGGGCATCACAGCGAAGAGAGAGTTCATGGCAGGTAAAAGGCAGCAAAGCTGCAAAGTAGCACAGAAGCAACACCCAAGAAGCAGCCAACCTGTCTTGTTTCTCTCCCTTCATGCCTATCTGGACTACGTGCCCATTGGGTGGTGCCATACACTTCCAGGGTGAGCCTTCCTATTATCCCCACTCAGAAGAACTAGGTCAAACCAATTAGAGTAGTTTAGTAACCACACACCATCACACATCCTAGATCCAGTCACCTCTAAAAAGCCCATGATGACTGCATAAGGCTTGGGAGTTGGAGGTATTCCTGAGAACAGGAAGGGTCTGAAGAGAAAATAGGAACTGACAGAGATACTGAAGAGATAGCCAAGAATGGAGAAGAAGGAAGGGGCAGTCTGTGTCCTCCTCATCCCTCCACAGGCTCCTGGCTCCTGGTTCCTGAGTAAGAAAGATCAGGTCTACAGAGACACAGTGAAGGTGGACAACTCCCGAGACCTTCAGTGAGAAGCGCACTAGTAGAACGCTAGAAGTGGATGATGCACACTATACTAAGCCAGTGGTCAGACTTTGGGACTGTGGAACAGGATTATACATAGCCACACCCAAAATGTGTTACTGGAAAGCAACTAATGTGATCTTCGTACTAGCAGCAAAGGCTTCAGAGGGCAAACATCTACAAACAAAGCACAACAAGCAAACAAAAACAATAAAAACATGGGAAGAAAAGGCAACAAATGCCTTCTCAAATCGCTAACTCCCCAAAGCCAATGTAGGGTCAGAAAGGGGCAGGGTATCATAGGCCACTCACATAAATTACTCCAAAGCCTAGCAGCACAGCTAAGAAAACAGTTCAACTCAGTAGGATAAGAGAATACATCTCACATATATTAATGGAAATAATAAACAGAAAAATGCGAGAGCTCTAACAAGACACTAACAGAAAGCTAGATGAGTGAAATAAAGTTTTGAAAAATATCTGACCAGTTCACCAAAAAATTAGAGTGCGTGCAAAGGTTTTGATCAGAAATTCAAGAGATTCACAATCATACTGAAAGAATGGGCAGCAGGACAGACTAATCTTAGGATAGAATTTCAGAACCAGAAGACAGTGATGCCTTCCAAGGCCCACTACTCAACACATCTTAAATGCAGCAAGAGAAATGATGTATTGGTCCAGATGATACAAAGAAAATCAGTCTAAGACTAACTGGAATAAGTGAAAAGTCAAGACAAAAGAAACAGTATAAAACCCTGTTTGTAGAAATAGTGGTACAGGACTAGGGAGATAGCTCAGTGGCATAAGCGCCTACCTGGCAAGTGCAAGGTCCTGAGTTCGATGCCCAGTACAAAAAAAAATAGTGGCAGAAAACTCCCTAAATATGGAGAAAGAAATCAATATATATGGAAGGAAAGCATGCAGAACACCAAATAGCCATGACTGAAAGAGAACCTCTCCATGCCACAGTAGAGTGTACTCAACATTCCGGAAGTCCATCACAGGGACAAAAATCTTAAAAGCTATTAGAGAAAGGCAGCAAATCACATACAATGTTAAATCCATTAGAATTGCAGCAAACTTATCTATACAAATGTGAGAAGCCTGCAAGCCATAAAAGAAAACAATTTCCAAGTCTGACTTATACAGCTTACAAGACTTTCCTTTAAAAGTAATGGAGAAGGGCAGGGAGATAGCTCAGTAGAATAAGGGTTTGCTTGTCAAGTGCAATGGCCTGAGTTCAATCCCCAGTTCTGCAAAAAAATAAAAAATAGAAAAAATAAAACTGATGGAAAAATAAGGTATATCAATGACCAGGAGCACTTCAGGAGATTCAGGACCATCAAAGCAGCATTACAAATTTTTAAAGCTATCCTAGAAAGAGACAATAGTGCCATTAAGTCAAAAAAAAACAATGAGTATACTTCACGGGACAAATGGCTAAGCGAAAGGGGGAATTGGGGAAATCAGCCACAGGAAAGTAATACAATGACAGGAATAAGCTCATATCTCTCAGTGATAACTCTCCATGTGAATGGTCTCAATTTGCCAACCTAATCATCTCCGCAGTGAATGTAATCATTGTGCACTGCAAGATTGTACTAATAAAAGTTTTAAAAAATGAGTTTACCTTCTTTCAGGAAAGATGGGCTTACATGAACCATGCAAAGAGATGTTGATATAATTAAGGTAGGTATAAGAGGAAGGAACAGAAGTAGAAATTAATTCTGTGTGGAGATTGGAAACAGTGCTCTGGAGTCCTGGGAACTTTCAGCAGGGCCCAGATCTCTAAAACAGTGACACATGAGTTGCCCAATTCCTTGGATTATAGGAAAGTTTCCTTTTTTTGGTTTAAGCCTGTTTGAGTTTTCTGTCACTTTGCAAATAAAATTCTCTAACTGAATTTTCATAGCTCTGAGAAATCCTTTACCAAGTGAAAACAGAAAGAGAATTAGTCATCGAATGGCCAGTGTAAAAACACAGCTACTGAAGGACTAATCCCAAAAAGGAAGGAAGGAGCCACCTAGAAAGCCAACTAAAGGAGCTTCCAAGGAGAAAGGAGGTGCGTGGAATTCATAAGTCTCTAACAGAGAAAAACAGCGAGAACAGAAACAGAATTTACACAACTCACAGCACAAGTCACAGCTGGCAAATAAATTCATGAGAAAAGCAGGACTTCCTAGTCTGAGGAATGAGGTGGAGCCCAACTGCAAGTAGTCACAACAACCAATTGAACGTGCAAGGTGAACCTACTTGGTGGAAATAATTTAGTGATTTGTTACAGAAAATTAGATATTCTAATGAGAGTGTGGTTAGGCTTGCCATGCTTGTACTTCCAACAGAATCAATTTCTGGATAATAGAGCGAGCCAGATGAGCAACAGTGCCATTCCTCGTCTTAGAAAGCCTCACGTCGTCGCACATTTTTATGAGAATTTTAAGTAACCAGCCTCGTCGTTTGTCCCTATGCACCTGAGAAAATGAGCACGAGGGCTCGTTCCCTTGCATCCGCGGGCGAGAGAAAGAGAGGGAAAAATAGGGTACGATTAGCAGGGTAAACATGAGATTGCATAAATATAAAATCTTGAATTTCACCTAATATTTCAGCAGTAATAACAATAATGAGGACAGAATGCATGGCCTGAGATTTTTTAGTGAAATACAACTCAAAATCAGACACTCTCTCTAAAGATAGGATGAAGAATGGTATTGCATGGGTTGGAACGCCACGGAGGTGACTGCCTGAGAGGGCGGTGGGTGATTTATCCACAGGGATAAAATGGCAACAGGTCACGGGGGCTATGAATACAAAATGAGCGTTCTTCCATCAATTTCAGGAACAAAATAGAAATGTTGCAAAAATACTGAGAATGTAGCGCTGTGACAGAAGTGACTCAGGCTGTCAACACAAGCCTGAGTTCCTTTGGAAAGCAGCCTTGGAAAGGAGCCAGCTCTGCCCCAGGTCCGCAGTCAATAGCCCCACCCCTGGGCACGGCCCCCCACACCCAGAGTCTGAGAACTGCCCAATCCCTAACCCCGGTTTAGCCTAACTCCGCCCCCGATCGCCCCGCCTTGGTCTCTGTTTCCTTGGAGACTCTGCGTCCCCTCTTTTCACCTTGCGGCCTCTGAACTGGGGCTAAAGGAAGGGGCGGCGCCAGCGCCCTGCACCAGGTAGCAGTTGGGGGCAACTTCAGCTAAACGGAATCCAGAGTTGCTCAGCCGAGTCAGTGCCTCGAGGTTTGTGACGGCTTGGGCTAGGATGGGGACAGGTCTTTGTCAGCTTCTAGTTTTAGTTGAGCTGCTCTTCCAGGCTCCCTTACATCGTGATACCTTCCTCCACAGCTTCCGGGTGGAGGCTCAAAACTAAAATGAATCCCTGGCAGTTCACCTAAGGAGTAGGTGTAAGAACAAATCCTTCAGTTCTGTTCAGAACCGGGAGGGAACGGAAGGGAAACTGGGCTGCTCTTGATTTTGGTAAAATGGATTAATTAGCCAATTAACCATAAATAAAATGAACCCTATCATAATTTTAAGAGAACAAACTGCACTGGAGTATATCAACGCGCATTGCAGACGCCCTTCAGTTGGTGATTCGTTGCATAGGCTCTACTCTTCGGTTTTTAGTTCACCTACACACTTAGCAAGCAGTTTAGCATTTTTTGTATGAATGAACTGAGTTTCACAACTTGGGACAAGGAGAGGAGTTATTGTGCTGACTGGTAGCTTTTATTTTTCCTCTCCCCTTTACTATGCTATATGCTGCTTTCTGGTTTTCAGTCTGAAATCTGTGAGGCTGGAGAGACATTCATTAACAATCTGGAAATGTAAATCAAATGAAATTTGGCCTGCTTTCAAACACTTTTCCTACTATATGTTTTTATATAACCATCAGTAAGTCAGTTGGTGGGAGAAGTGAGATTTCTATTTATTTAACAATGTTATCTACCAAAGAATGGTAGAAATTTCCAAAAATTTTAAGGCAAGGGATAAACTAATGATTCCTAAAACATATAGATTGAGTATTTTCTATTGCTATAAGGAGCATGATTTATGATTTTTCTCCTGTACTTTTCTTTGAGTTTGCTTATAACAAGAGCTTGTGGTCATGCTATGGGAAGGTTTCATTCTTATAAATAATTTTGTCATATTTATTTTGAACTCTCCAGAGGATCTGTAATAAATTTTCTTGCTGTGGCTTATTGCCTGATTTCTCTTATGCCAACTTCTACCCCAAAGTGACTGAACCCTGGGGCCAGGTCACCCTCAGACCCAGTCTTTCCCCAAGTAGCCTCTGTCTCCACAATGGCACCCCCACCCTGTTTCCTGATGTTGGCATCCCTGGGGAAGGAGGGCAGGAGGGGAGAGTTACTCTTTGAAGAATTTTACTTGGGGGCCAGAAATTTAAACTCACACCATGAAACACATTTACTCTGACCCAGAACTCTCAAACCTTTCATCCTGTATTTTTCCATTCTCATTTGTCTTTGCGTGCGGGGGCCAAACTTAGAGACTGTAACCGCTGATACAAGAACCAACCAGCAGATCAAAGATTGCACCAAATCTCTTCTGAATACCAACAGTGGAATGGCTTCAGGCGGCCTTTTGATCTTTGTCTCAGCCCTGTGGTGCCACATGTAGCACTGCCCACTTGCTGGCACTGACAGGCTGCCTCTGGGTCCTCTAAGCAGACTGCTTCAGCCCGGGTTCTACGGGCTGAGTTCACCTAGTTATCAGCCAGAGAGGAGCTTCTCATTCTCCTTCTCCCGTACATGAACCTGAGCGAGTCATGCCCCTCCTTGCAGCTACATGCTTGTGTGCTTTCCTCTGCAGTAACAAGCTGGGAGAACCTTGATGGCCAAGGGCAGTGGGTTCCTTTTCTGCTATGGGCCCAAGTCATTCACCACACTGCACTGGTTGCCTTCTTCCTTGGCAGATCTAGGCTGGGACTTACCTAGGAACCTGGAACCTGTCTGGCCAAATCAGGGGAAACACTGCAACCCATGTTAAAACAGCCTAGAAGGCTCTCCTCACTCTGTAGGTATAATTAAAGCCTGAAATACTTGCATTTCTTCCCTCTTGCTTCCCCCTTGGCTACTTCTGCTTGCCAGAAAATAGGTAATTCCTACTTCAGGAGAATTCAACATAAATAATATTCAATTTAAGTGATAAAAAGAGTGATTGTGTAGGTAATAATTTTCATGCATTTCAAATATCATGTGCATCAAGAAATTCAGATCACACATTACCGTATAAAATAAAATACCCTTCTGTGACCATGTACTGATTATGAAAAAATGCCTTTGCCCAACAGGTGTAGGCAAGATAGAATCCAAGACTGGGAGCAGAAACAGAGTCTCCTGGATTTTCATCCACTATGAGCTTAAACTTTTCAACATAGATTGGTTGACGAATATTTTTCCAGCATGCAGTTAATGACTTTTCTCAGTTTCTAATTCAGCTCTGACCACCCCCCCGTTCAGTTTGTGCCTTGAGGCTTGCCAGCAGGGCTTGCAATACTTACATTAAACTAAATTTAAGAGTAAAGGTGCTCCTGCTGCTCATGTTCTCAGATCAGAGGAGAGCAAAATGAAGGAGCTGGCAGCTGAAACTTTAATGGTAGGAAACGTTGACTCGGATTTTTTAAAAAAATATAGTTGATCAGTGTGACAAAGAAGACATGCTCGTCTCTCAGTATGCCATTTGCATTTGGTTTCATTAGATGCTTATATTTTCTAGAACATAAATGTCCATGGCAAGGAAAGATGAGCAAGGGTGAATTTTATATGACAGACTATGAGGCCACCCTGGGAGGAAGAATTATAAGCACCGTAGTGGAAACACTTCCTGGATCAGAGATTCTGGTTTTTTTTGTTTTTCTCTATCTGCAAATAGGTCTTCCTAGTTTGCAGGAAACTTCTTGATGAACCTTTCAGAAGTTCCTGCAATTGTGCAGTTTCCTCTGTTCCAGTACTCACTGCATAATGCAAACAGGGAAGCAAACAGGGACCCTTAGAACAACCTTATCTAGTAGAGATGGAATGCCCTTACCCAATGTAGTGAAACTATTATTACTTTCTGTCCTTCTTGAAATCCGCTAGGGCTAGGTAAGGGTTAAGAACTGGGTTAACTCAAATTTACTCTGAGACTTCGGAGGCTTCTGGAATGTGGTTGTCACAGCTGCTGGGGAGTAACCTCCTGGAAAGTGACCTAGGGGAGCCTGTAGTATCACTCAAATCTAGCCATAGGGTTCAGTCTTATGCTAGTCAGTCCCTGTTAACACATGTTCTGCATAATGTTGCCACTTAATAAATTTTAGTTTTATAAGTAACTCTGCTAATACAAGTGGGTCAAGTATATTTTTAAGTTATAAAAGAATTAAGCTGTTATGAAGTTATTCTGTGTAACACAATATGTTTCTGATTTTTTTTTCTTAAGGAAAAGACTAACATTTATGGTTGACCATGTTTTCAAGCTAACAGTGTATACAAAAGGATTCATGGAACATATCAGGCCTCACTAAGCTGGTATTAGGATTGTACTATAACTTAAAATAAAACACAGATCTTCACTGGAATTATCTTTTGAAGTAGGGAGAAAATATTTTTGGATTAAGTTAATAAACGTTTCAGAAATTCAATTCTGACCATCTCTGCACTGCATTTCAAAAGACTTCCCCTCAGCTCTTCATGTTCCCACCACACCCACGTGACTATTGCTTTGTGACACCAGAGGACTGCCATGTCTCAGCCTTCCAGGAGTGGCTCTGTCTTGGTCCTGACATAAAACACTGTCCTTTCCCTTTTCACTATCACAGCAGCCTCCTAGCTGCCTTCCTTTCCCTACAGTCTAACCTCAAAAGAGAGCCACGCCTGAGTAATTCTTTCAAAGTGAATGTGAAATCATGTCACTTTGATGCTACTGATCCTCCAATGGATTCTTACCTCAATGACAAAAGAGTGACAGTTTTTATAGTAACTTTCAAGACTCTACATTGCTGGTACACTACCAAAATTGTCTCTAGCTTTTGACCTCATCTGCTTTGCTGTTATTTATTGCCTGTGTTTGTGAACATTTGTGTAGTTTCTAAATCCCTGCTGTATTTTTCACTATCAAATCTTATCATCCACCATCTGGATGGATAAGACGTATCATATATTTTGATGATAAGCTATTTGTAGAGTACATATATTCTATACATTTTTGCTTACTTGTGTACCATCTGTCTCCATGCCTATAATGGGATTCTGTGAAGTCAAAGATATTTGTCTTTTTGTTCACTAACCTTCACCAACTAGAAGAGCACCCTGTCTCTTAGTAGTAGTTCAATAAATGCCTGTTGAATATATTAAAGGCTTCGATTGATTGTGATTTACTGTAAGTAGCACAGGCTTGAAATGCTAGAGATAGTGATTTAAAACCTAAAACAAGTCTTCCAGGTGCTGGGTGATGCTTAAGGGTAGAAGCCAAAGCTGGAGTCCATACTCAGGGGCAGAGAGCTGGATCAGAACTTTTGGACTGTTGAGAATTGTGGACTATTTTTCTATTCTAGAACCAGCAAATATTATCCCCATATTTCTTCCACTGGGGTTAAGAGTTGAAATAACTTGATGTTCTAGACCTGCCTTTCTTACAGCTCCCCCCTGTGGCACACTGCACTTTCAGGAGGCTTGCTACTGTGCCTCCCATCCCCATTATTGTCTTGCAACATGCGTTTGACACTGCCTGTTGAGAGGTGGTTCTATGTTCACCTGCCTTGAATCTGGACAGGACCCCTATCACAGAAGAAGCGATACTCTGTGACTTTCAAGGCCAGTCCTTCAAAAGATATATATCTACCAACTGACATTTTGTTCAGATTCTTTTTTGAGCCCTCAGCTTTCCATGGCTGCCATGCTGTGAGGAAGCTCAATGCCTACTAACAGACCACATTATGTATTTCAACAGATAGCCCTGGTGAAGATCCAGCTAAGAATTAGCATCCATCACTAAATACCTGTGCAGGGGACAATTGTCCTTCTCCATTGGGTTATGTCAGCTTTTGAGCCTTCCCAGCAGAGACCCCACTCATCACAGAGCAGAGAAAGCCGTATCTGTTATGCCACGTCCAATTCCTGATACATGAATTGTGACAAACAGTGTTGTTTTAAACAATTTTTAAAAGCCACTATATTTGTTATACTACATAGTATAGCTGTGGGCTGCCCAAGTGAGTAAACTGGCTCATTAAAAATTATTCTTAGCATTTGTCACTTCTAAGGAAATCTTAACTTGTAAATGATGAGATGTTAAGAAAATAATAAGGCTTGAACTATTTTTATTCATAGATTGTAACAGGAGAGCAAGGCATAAGCATCTGAAATCCATAGCTAGCCTGAGAATGTTCATTTGTGAATTGCAGCCACACCCCTAACAAAACTTTTAGCAAAGCAAGTTGATTATCTGGATCTTCAATGCATTCATGGTGTTTCCTTCTTCTGTAGTTAGTGGTAGAGATGCAGACAAGCAATACATTGACTGCAAAGCAAACAGTAGAAGAAAATAATGAGAGAAGCAATGCGTAGAATCCACTCACCAAGCACTGTTGCTGAGTAACATCACAATAGCTCTACCTATGGAGGCATTCTGTCCTAGGAAGACAGACTAGATTGCTAACACAACTTAAAGAATTCTCTGTGGATTCATTCCTTACAAGGCCATTTCTGCTTATTTTTCGTAGTCCAAAATGACCGCCCTTCCCTCACCACCCATGACGCGTCCAAAGCTTATGGCGTTAGCCAGACAGAAGCTGCCGTGCTCCGCAGGGTCCATTCCAAGGTATGTCCCCTTAGGTTGCAATTCTTTTCCTGCAGAATAACACGTCTTCCGTAAGAGATGGCAATCGTACATCTCAGAAAATAAACTTGTTTAAGGAAAAGAGAGAGCTAGACCATGATATTCAAACATTCAGATTTGTTTCAAGAGGACTGATGAACCTAACTTGAAAGTGTGTTTTTCAAACTAGTGCTCATTTCATCATTTTATTTTCTATTGTCATTATGTCACAGTTCCTAAATAGTTTTGAGATCTGGGTTCAAACCTCAGTACTACATGCCACGCAGGCCCTGGAACCCTGGGCATGCTGTGCTAGCCACCAAAACCAGGCTTGGTAGCATGTGCCTATCATTCCAGCACTGGGGAGGCTGAGACAGGAGGATCGCTATAAGTCTGAGCTGCATAGCAAGACCCTGTACCAAATACATACATATACACATATATTTGTTAAAAACTTAAAAAGAGAGTTTTGAGTTGTTTCTTTTAAAATATGTATAAAGAAAGGAAAGAAACTTTTTAAATGAAAGGTATGTGGCTTTTAAGCCACAAGACCACAAACAGTGACTTCAGTTTTAAAGGTACTAGGGTGGATGGAAGGACAATCTGGCAACAGCATCTGTCACCTATGGTTTACCAGGGTTGATTGGGCTGATCTGCTGGTGAGGCGGATGTCCCCTGCCTCTGTCACCCTCCTAAAGCTCGGAAGAGAACCATCTCCTAGGTCAAGGATGCTGGAGTAACTGAACTCCCCTGCTACAGTCTCTAAAGGAGCTCAGGCAGGCATGAGGGTGCATCTTTCCTAGGAAGGTAGCTTAGAGGACATGATGTAGCTCCTGAAAAGATGCTGAGATCTAGAATGTGCATCATCAAGCTGCCTCCGCCTGGGAATGGCTGCTTGGCTACTGGAGTCATCACTGAGAATGTGCAGAACAGAGAACTTGAAGCACTTATACCATTTTTATTAATATTAACTGAGATTATGCACCTTTAATTGACATTTGTAATTTTATTGATTTTTAGTAATATGTAAATTATCAATATGGATAATTTGAATATGTAAGTTTGACTATTTTCTTTCTATACATAATTCTCAATTCCTGCAAGGAATAGTGATCAAAGTATTATGAGATGTCTTTGTTCTCTTATCTCATTTTTGGTATTTCTGGAAAAGACCAAAGTCCTTGGACAAAAATAAATACACAGCTAAACTAACATAAAAGTTCTTTTAAAACAGCAAATCAAAAATTTCTTTTTCTGTGGCTGAAAAATCTTTTGATAGATGCATAATTTGTATGTGTTTCCCAGCTTTGTATCTTACATTTGAATATTGTGAAATATTTTCAAAGTCTGAAAACAAAACTCGTTCTTCTGATCTTTTTGAATAATAGAGATTATATTTTCTTTGCAAGGTAAACAACCCCTAAGATCAAGTCGATTTTAAAGAGGACTCCTTTTATTCATTTTATTGAAGACAAATTTTTTATAATTAAACCTTAGGACAAATTTCACATAGGCATTAATATCTTCTGAATATAACAAAGATATTTGCTTAGTTCAATATCTCTACAGTTTTGAGAAGTTAATAGCAAGTATATTTTTTAAAGTGTAGTAGTTGTAAAGCACGAGTACACTACAGATACATTGCTCAGCAAAGTCTTAAAAATCATACATTGGAACCTCTAATAATAATTTGAAATGTCTGTGTGATTTAAAAATGTGATTTAAATAGCATTTCAGGAAAAATTAGTAATGTTTTTATAAAATAAATATTCTTGATTCAAGATTCTAAACTAGACAAAAATGACTTCTGCAGCTGGACTATTATACTGTGAAACAGTATAATCAAGGTGGAAGACATTATAATCTTTGAGGAGAAAACACTTATTTAAGGATGTGGTCTTTGCAATTTGTGGATGTTTTCCTTGTTTATACATGGGGTTTAATGACCATCTCTGTCTGTTTCCATTCAGGAGAATTAAAATTTTGAAATGATCCATCAACAAACAACCTAACTCTACAGCAATTTCAGAATATTTATTGTCCATGCTATTACGCCCTGAATACTTCTGTTCTCCTGTTGGCATTTTAGGTGTTTGGGAGCTTTTCAACCTCATAAGGCAGTGCTTTATTATTTCTTTCCATTTCATTTAGGTCCCAACTGATCAAAGAAAAAGATGACATAGATCATTATGTGGAGGTGAATTTCAAAGGATTGTCAAAAGAGGAGGTTGCTGCGTAAGTATAACCTCTTAAAGGTACTTTAATGTGAAGTTTGTTTCTTTGTCTTGATTCTTTATTGAAATTTCAATTTTCCTGTGCAGTACGCTTTTTCATTGGAACATGGCATTTAAAAATTAAAGCTCACATTAAATAGTGATAAGTCAGGCCTATTGATCTTACATATATCAATGTTTTTAATTTTATCGCTTTTAAATTCATATATTTACCAAGATATTATACTACCACATTTGAAGTACTGAGGTCTGGGCTGTTCATTAGTTATCAACCTCCATTTTAAGGTTTGTTCCTTTCATAGAGAAGAAAAAAGCTTTAAGAGAGATTTATATCGTTTTTCTTGGTGATTAGACAAAAGTAGCTCTAGTAAGTATATTTTTCTTTCATCCAATAACCCACAAAAACGAATCAATAGATTATAATTCACTGTTTAATTAAACAAATCTAAAATTTCTGGATTATGTTTTAAATGAACAATGTAAACGTTTTCATTTTATCATTATTTAAAATCTAACATATGGGATAAATAAGAATGGAATAAAAATCCGTGAAAAATTAATACAAACCTAAAATGATAGCTAAATAGGCTCAATATTGTTACCTATAGTCTTAATGACTGTTATAATCAGTTCAAGTATGAACTTTGAAAAATAGAAATCTTATAAATGTACATGCATCTTATTGAATTCAGTAAATTTTTAAATTCTAATATTTTAGGTAACACATGTTTTAAACATATCATCTTGTCTAATGTTATGAGATTCTACTGAAAAAGTATTCCTAATGATATTTTTGGTGTAGGTTTCATCCATCCTGAAATTATCAGTGTCTTAATATGTTTTATTTTGGTTCACATTATTTTCTCAATTAACATATAACATGGAAATTCAAAGTAGTTCAGTCTGTCAATAGCTATTTTATAAAACAACTAAGTTTAATAGTGGCTGTCACTTACTTCCCCAGAACTGTCTCACTGCTATGTGCAGTGTATGTGGTCTAACAATTATTCTAATTTTTAACTCATTAACTGTCCATGATAACTTGTTGGATAAAATTAAAGGGCAATGTTGCATGATTGTATTATTAGTAACTATTAAAAAATATATGTGATATTTGTGCTACTATTTAATATATCATTAGCCAGATATCTTCAGTTGGCTTAATAATTAAGAATTAAATTACAAATTGAACTTCTGCTTCATAAAATTCAAAGAGCTAGAAATTCATACATACCTAAGCCTTCAGTGTATACTGAAGAAAAGTTGTATCTAAAGGACTACAAAACATGAATATTTTCTTAATAATATTCATATTAATAACATTTTCCATTAGAGATATGACCAAATTGATTTCAAAATTTCAGTCTATAATATTACATTCTTCTTAAAGCTTCTGTACTTGGGTACTTATTGGGTACTTTTTCCACATGTTTTCTGTGAGATGCCAGATGCAAGCCACTAGCACAAACACAGTGTGTGCACACTGATGTTCACCAGCGTTGTTATTCTGTAATATGCCAAGGTTCTGTGTCTATTCAAAAGACTACTTCCCCTGATATACACTCACACATGTACACCCTGTGACTTTCCTACAACCATGATGGACGAAGAGTCTCTGTTCTCATCTAAGGATGACCTTTCGCATTTGTTTATTGGATTCCATTCCCTTATAGCAGTTTCAAGACTTTCTCTTTTAAACATGTCTTTTGCACACCATAGATTTCTCCTTTTCCAATGGATGAGCCTGACTGGTATTCAGAAGCACCTAGTATGTCCCTGCACTTCCTATTCCCTTCTGGTTCTGTCCTGTTCTTTCTGGCCCTTCGCACCAACCTGGCCTGCAATTGTGGATGGTCTGGACCTGGTGGACCGCTCCGACCTCACCGCCGTCTCATGCTTTTTGCCACTCGGTCCTCCCTGCATCTTTCTTGTCACGTGAAATGTCCTGTCCATGGAACCCTCCTCTGACCTCATAATAAAATTTAAATGAGTAGTTGATCCAGATAAATTTAAATAGCTGTTACTGGCAAATCCAACTGCTAAAGATTTATTTTACTTTGGAATTGATAGACTCATCTGAAGGCAGAGGGCTTCTTTCAGGCTTTATCACCTGCATGTACAGAAGGAATTTCATGCTTTGTTAATTTTTAGGTAATTAGTTTATTTACTTTCTTTTCTAGAAGTCAAATGCATTTCATTTTATATTTGACACTGATGATTTATGAGATATGCTTTCACATAGTTAATTGATACTGTCTGACGGTTACTAAAGAAACATGCATCTGGAAAAAAAAAGAAACATAGCTGAAGTACTGATATACTTTGGGTATTTAATTCTGTACAGTATTATCAGAATATTGTTATTTTCTAAAAGGACTTAAAATATCATTTACTATGATATCATGATTGTTTTGAATATCTAAGTAGTAAAAATGTATAGATTTCTGGGATGGCAGTTTTAACCACTTTTGTTCTGTCTATGAGAACAAAATAGAATCATCTAGGGACAGGGAATGTTAATCTGATTAATATTATTTTCTGCTTCAGTTAACAAGGTTTTAAATGAAAGATTCAGATCAAATTTGTTCTCATCTTTAATATGTTGTGGTTTTAGTGGTTTCTTTCTTTCTGTATCATCAATTGATGTTTTCTGAGTGTCACTCTGTGAGTCAGCTCAATGACAGGGTTGTCAATTACCATGCTCACCAATAAAGAAACACAACCTCATTTAATTTCCTATCTTTTAAAGTATTTTCCTATTGACTACTTTTTTCATTGTATGAGTCTCATTAACTCAAAGTACACTGGTGTTTAACCACTTAGGTTTTAATTTTAAATTTTAAAATTCTTCCAATGATATTTTTATAATCTACAGATATGTTTATTTTACCAGTGTAGCACCTAGGTTTCCCAATGGCCAGGCACTTTAAATAGGATCCGTTATTTCATGACAGACTCCCTTCGATGTGCTCTTATCTGGCTCACTCATTTTTGTGTACTTTTTAAGGCTTTTATGAAATCACCTTTCTTTCACAACATTTTTCTCTCTTGCACATAATGAATTCTCCTTGGAGATTTGCAAATTGAACTTTTTGAGAATGCCAGTTGCCAAGTAAATGTGTACTTGATGGTCCTATCATGTTGAGTTTTGTCTCTGGTAGTTATGTTTTGTCTACATTAAAACAGAAAAAGTCTCAAGCTATTCAGACTGCTCTCAGTTCTTTGCTATGCTTGAAAGAAAAGTTCCTTAAAATATTGCTATTATTGTAGCTATATAAAAATCATAGTATGTATCCATGTCCTATTTTGTTTTCTTTGTTGAAAACTAGAGGTAGGATAGTGACTGTGTTCCCTGTCTCAGTTCTTAAAGCAAATAAATGCCATGAGATGACAAGGACTTGACTATTGCAGGCTTCTGATAGGAATTACCATATCCAGATCATCTCTGGTCAGTATAATTGGGTGATATGAAAACATTTAAATGTTTGGCCAGAGAGAAGGAAAATTTTGTAGATGATAATTTTCCTTGATAGGTTTAAATTAGATGATCTATTAAGTTTCAAAACTACATTTATTTTAGAATTACTGTCTGAGAACACTTTAAAAACTCCAAACTTTATTTGATCTAGAAAGACAATCTATCAAGACACACACACATTGTATATGTATATATATATATATATATATATATATATATATATATATATAGTCTGTTTTTGAATACACATATATATCCCCAAATATTGTGGTTTACATATTAATCTCAATTTTCTATATATTACTGATAAAAAAACCTTCCATATATTTAAACATTTTTCTTCAAGTTAAAGCATAAACATGTTTACAAAAATTAAATATAGGTAGAAAAACTCAAATGCACAATATATTGTATTCTTCCCCACAAGTCACTAGCCAAAAGTTGATAGTCCCTTTGTGATAACACTATCTGGGAGAGTTGGGACCTGCCTGTCATCCCAGTTACTTAAGAGGGAAGTGACTGATTCATTTTGGGAAGTCTTAATCATGTTTCATTCCTCAATTTTAGTTTCATTTTAGATTTTTATATTTAAAGATTTTGATTATGGAAATGTACCAATATTGATATTCTAGATTCTTAAATATAAACATTTAGTACTAATTAATTAATTAATATATCATTGTCCAAAACTCCCAATATCTTTTGTTATTTTTTTTTAATTTTTATCATTCCTCCCCTATTCATGAGAGACCAGAAGTTACATTTTATGCAGGAAAAAGACACAGTGTGACTTCTCTTTAAAAGACTCACTCAACGCCCCTCAGTACTATGGATAACTGAGGTGGCAACAACTCTTGAGAGAGATGGGGCCGGCTTGACCCGAGTAGATGGAGAGGATGCAATACGTGGTCTAATTTAGAGTGATAGGAAGATCAGTGATCTTTATTTAAGTGATAGGAAGATCAGTACATTCAATGTAACGAATTTGGAGAATGCGTAAAAGAAATCAAAGATGGTTCAGTCTGAACTAGCCCAAATCACTGGGGGAAAAGTCTCTTTCACACTCAAGTCTCCAGTATCTCCAGCATTACTCAGAACACAGCAAACACTGAATAATTTTATTTTAAACAAAAGCCACCTACATCCCAGCCTATGCCCACCTTTTCCAGTTAAAATCTTTCTATTCCATTTGGAAATTTACTCTTTACAAAATTAATAATCAATACTTAAACACTAAATATGTTTCAGATACTATTTCAAGTGTACCCTATATATTAATTCACCTAATCCTAGAAAAATCAAAGATGTAAAGAATCTAAACATTTTTTTCTAGGGCCACTTGTTCTTAAAGATGGAAGCCCAGAGATATCAAGTGACTTGTCCAAGATCACATGTTAAGAAGTGGGGACCATAGGCAGTTTGAGTCTAGAGTTCGTCGTGAGCCATGGTACCATTCTGCTGCTGAAGTTAGCCAGGTCACTCAGCACTGCTCTCTCTCTTATCTTCCATCCTTTGTGTCCTGT